GAAGTGGAATTGTCAGCTACATTCTAATTGCAGAATCTTAATCAGGTAGGAGGAGGATGTCAAAGCAAGAACAGACTGGTTTTTCAGACCCCAAGTTAAGGCTGCTAGGTTTTTTGTTTTTGTTTTTTTAAATCCTTTCATGATTTGTAAACTGTTCAATGGGAGAAAATGAATATGGGACCTCACGATGTCAGTTTAGAGCATGATTTTTCTGACTACATCCAGTTTGAAAAACAGCAAGACAAGGACTTGGAATGTATTTGTCAAAGAAATGTTTCCAAAATTTCCTACTGTTGCTACCACCAATTCAGCCTCACTGGCATTAACAATACTGAGTCCAAAGGTAGACAGATCACCCACTGCTGCAACCATTTTAAGCACCATGGAGATTTTCAAAGGCACACATGGCAGGTACCTAGCTTAACTGTCTCAAGGGCAGTTAGGTGCCTGACTGGCATTTTTGCCTTTAAAAATTTCCCCCATGTCAATTAGACGAGGGGTTCTCAACCTTTTTCTTTCTGAGGCCCCCTCCAACATGTTATAAAAACTCCACAGCCCACCTGTGCCACAACTTTTTTCTCTATATAAAAGCCAGAGCTGGCATTAGGGGGTAACAAGCAAGGCTATTGCATAGGGCCCCCCACCAAGCTAAGTTGCTCAGGCTTCGACTTCAGCCCTGGGTGGCAGCGTTCAGGGTCCCGGGTTTCAGCCCCACCTGTCAGGGCTTCAGCTCTCTGCCCTGGTCCCCAGCAAGTCTAACACTGGCCCTGTTTGGCAGATCCCCTGAAACCTGTTTGCAGCCCCCCAGTGGGTCCCAGACCCCTGGTTGAGAACCACTGAATTAGACCTCCTGTGAGCAAGGCTAGGTAAACACTGCACTCAAAACATTGGTAGCAGTTGGTGTAGTCAGCTCCACTATGGATTGCAACTCTAATATAGCATCTGCACCACAATATCCCATACCCAGTGTGAGTGCTAATGTAGGCCCCTCTGCGGCCTTTTCAATACTGTGCCGTAAAACCTTGATAGAGTTGGGTTTGATACCATGCTGAAAATACCCATGCCTGAGCTATACTAGTGCTTGCATTGGTGCAACGGTGTTGGAAATAGGCACAAAAATGTGTAGTATAGACAAGGTCAAATGAAAGTGACTTTCCGGAGAAATTTAAACCAGTCTCATTTAATCCTTTGGGACCTCATGTGGATAGCCTTTTTGAAGGAATTGTATATGAACTAAGCAATCTCCATTCTTTGCATTATATTTTTTTGCAATTTGTTTTCACAGTCCAAGTTGTCCACTGATGTAGGATGCTGCAGTGGCTATCAGTCCGTACTGCAGTACTGTATCAATATATCAATATTGCTACAGACCGGTACCTCTGCAGCTGTACAGCGCACACATCCAGTAAGATGGTGTCCACATTTGTCTTCCAAAAATGAAGAAGCCTCTTCAAAGTCAAATGCTGTCATACAACTGTGTTGCTTTCTGATTTGTGATTGGTAGTCAGGGCCAGCTCCAGGGTTTTTGCTGCCCCAAGCAGCAAAAAGAAAAAGGGAGGGGGTGGGGGGAAAGGCGCGATCGCAGACCTGGACCTGCCGCCCCTCTCGGTTGGCCGCCCCAAGCACTTGCTTGCTGGGCTGGTGCCTGGAGCCAGCCCTGTTGGTAGTAAGGCATGTTTTGTTACATGGTGTACAGAAACTGGACAAATTAGATGAAATGTGACTAGCTCACATTGGTAGATTTTTTTTTTCTTCCATTAATTGAGCTTTTCAGGCTCGATTTTCAAAAGATCAGGACCCCACCGGCTCACACTTAGGCATCTTAAAGAAACAGAAAGATTTTCAAAGTGCTCATCACCCAGCAGTTCCCATCATTTTCAGTAGGAGCTGCATTGTTCACACCTGGCCCTACTTGTTTATATTGTAGCCTTGTCTTTTGAAGATTGATACCAAGAGCTAGTCAAAGGAGAGAAAGTGTTGTTCCCACAGGCCAGGTGTATTAGAAGTAACCTATGGGCACAAAGGTCTGACAGTTTACCTGTTTCATTAGCATCAGATCAAAAGTTGAAACTCTATATGGACCTTCAGTCTCTTTTCTGTGAATAACTGCAAAAGAGGCACATCTGAATGCACCTGCACCCTTCTACATGTCTATATGGTGTATGTGAAATAAGAACTGTTTGTTGTAAAAGTGAATTTAAGGTTATGTTTTATATTTTCTTTGGCCCTGCAGGTTCTCCAGGAAAGGCACTTGACAACTCAGCCAGCAGCCAAGAAAATAATTTAGGGAGCCCAAACAAGGCTGAAAAGTCAAGTCAAGCCTCTCGAGAGCACCATCCAGGAAGAAAAACTGCAGGGGGACAAGTGCAGAAAGGAAGTGATGAGTCAGAGAGTGACTTTGAATCTGATCCTCCTTCTCCCAAGAGCAGTGAGGAAGATGAAGAGCAGGAGGATGAAGATGTCTTACAGGGGGAGCATGGAGACTTTAATGATGACGATACAGAACCTGAGAACTTTGGCCATCGGCCTCTCCTTATGGACTCTGAAGATGAGGCGGAGGAAGAGGAGGAAGAAAAGCAGAGTTCTGATTCCGATTCCGATCGCACCAAGGGAAAGCCCATGGAAGGGATCCCTTGTGGTAGATACAGAGAGGTGGGTGGCAGTCGTGAAGACAGAGAACCCAATGTAGCACTCTCTTCCTTGTCTGAGTTACCCAGTACTGTGGCCAAGGTGAGCCCTGGCCAAGAATTTGATGTGTTTGGAGCTGTCCCCTTCTTCGCTTTTCAGACTCAGCAACCTCAGCCAAGAGAAAAGAGTGACACGGATTTCTCTCCTCAGCCTGCTTTTCTTGGCCTGAGGCAAGAGCAGGATGACTTTGATGTCTTCACCAAAGCCCCATTCAACAAGAAGGTGGCCCAGCCAGATGGCCCGGATGTAGGAGCTGAGACCCAAACCTCTCCTACTTCTCCCCGAAGTGTGGATATTTTTGGCTGCACCCCTTTCCAGCCTCTTCCCACCCCAAAGAGCAGTGAAAGCAGAGAGGACCTCTTTGGGCTTGTCCCCTTTGAGGAGATTACAGGGAGCCAGCAGCAACAGAAGGTGAAGCAGCAGCGGAACCTGCAGAAACTCTCCTCCCGGCAAAGACGCATGAAACAGGAGGTGCCCAAAAGCAATGGGAAGCGCCACCATGGCACCCCGACCAGCACCAAGAAGGCTTTGAAACCCAGCTACCGCACCCCAGAGAGAGCCCGCAGGCACAAAAAAACGGGCCGCAGGGACTCCCAAAGCAGCAACGAATTCCTAACTATCTCAGACTCCAAGGAAAACATAAGCGTTGCATTGACTGACAGCAAAGATCGAGGCAACCCTTTGCAAGCGGATGAGAATCTGCTGGACCCCTTTGGAGCCAAACCTTTCCACCCACCAGACTTGATGCGGAACCCACAACATCAAGGACTGGGTGACAACCGGGGGGACCATAATATAGTAGTGCCTGGTAGACCTAGACAGAGCTCCCTGCACGGGGCTGTTCACAGTGGTGATGGGCTAAAAACAGATGATTTTGGTGCGGTGCCCTTCACAGAACTGGTTGTGCAGAGTGTAACACCACAGCAGGCCCCGCAGCAACAGGCATTAGAGTTAGATCCATTTGGGGCAGCTCCATTTCCTTCCAAACAGTAAATGCTTCCACCAGACTATTTCTCATTCTCTGCACTATTTAACTTTGTTTTTAAATAGTGGAATAATCCATCTGGTTGAATTGACAGGAAACTGATTTTTCGTACAGTTTATTCAGCCTCGGTACTGCATGCCCAGCGCGCCTCAAAATTTTTAAATCGTGTTTTTGTATTGTACAAAACACCCAGAAAAAGGAGGACAGCACGTTTCCAGAGCAGAAGAGGAATCAGATGTGAGCTATTGTTTCAGCCACTGACTTTGGAGCCATGAAATATACTGTTCTGCACTTTTGCATGGCCTTTCCGCTCATAGGCAAGGGGGAAAACCATGGAAGAAGGTCTGCCATGATGCATCCAGTTAGTCTGATGGAATGGAATCCTTCTATGATACAAACCTTTGACTCTCTCTGAGACCTGAGATAATACGTATGTGCTGGTATCCATGATCTGCTGGAAATTCTTCAGTCTCCACCGTCTAAATGAAAGCTCTTTTCTAATCCTAACAAAGAAACCTACTCAAAGGATTGTGTGTGTCAAGATTTCAGAGCATGGTGGTGGCTTGAGAACTGATGCACAAGTAGAGGTGGAAGGCAATTTTTGTGTGCCTGAACATTAATTTTTTTACAGTAAGTGCCATTAATGTAAAATAGCAAAATGAAAATCTAGAGTGAAAACTAAAGATATAGGGAATATATTGGTTTGCTAGATAAAATCCTGGGTAACAAAGTAGCAGGGATACAGCCAGCATTTGCAGCACTTTGAAGACTACACCATACACTTGACAAGAGGGGCTGATTTACCTGGATGCCATGTCTAGCACAGCGGGAGTATATCAGATCATCAGTAAAATTGGCAGCAAGTGCAAACACAGAAAGATTACAAATCAGTTTTATTCAATTATCCATTAGGGTTTGCATCTGAAAATACCACTTTTTTTCCTCTTGGATTTTTATTCCAAACAAAATCTGTGTATACCTTAGAAACTGTTTTTAAACAGCTATGAAATTGTCACATAATGTTCTTTTAAGGTCTGACAAATCTATTATTGTACTTAGTCTGTTTTATAAGAGTTTCTGCTAAATGCACTGAGCTATGAAGAAGCTATACCGTGAAACCACAGAGTTTCAGAAGAGAAGCAGTAAGCAGCAGATAGCTTGTAGATGCTGATTACTATTCTGTCAGTAAACGGCATTTCACACCACAAGGCCTTACAGACAGGACCCACTTCCTGCTACAAAGTACCTCTAAGCCAACAGGTGCACGTGAGTGCTAAAAACGTATAGTACACAGTATGTCATGATGGGCTGGTGATGCTAATCCACTTGGTGAATACATGATTTAGTTGTTATAAAAGTATATGCTACCTGTATATGGGCCTGATTCTCCACCATCTTGTACCTTGTGTCTGGTCACTACACGTGTTGCAAAGTGAACAGAAACCAGAGTGGTGGTATTTGACACCCATTTCACATTCATTTTTCACAGGTGTAAATGACTAGACACAAGATGGAAGGAATCTGGTCGTCTTTGTTTATTTCAACATGGTATATCTTGCTCTGAATATTGACATTTTGCACAAAAAGCCAAATTTTAAATTATTTGAGACAAATCAATGGATGGATGAATGAATTGTATATACAGACGCACTGAGTGTTCTCTTCCTACCCACCTGCCCCACCACCCCAACACACACACACACACTGTGGATTAGCTAAACATCTAGATTAACACTTTTCTTCTGAAAGTCTTAAGAAAAATACAGTTAGGTGTAGACTCCTCCATAGATTTTCCAGAGGAGTCTGGCTCTTTTCAAGCACAAAAAGAAAAAGGAGACTTCTTAAATTGCTGCTCTCCTTTGATGGCTTTATTCAATTTTCTTTGACTGCTTTTTTGGATTGACTAGAAACCATCTGTAGCTAAAGTATTCATGTCTCTGGTCCTAGACATGAGAAATAAGATACATACATGGGTCTTTATCTCTTTCTCTTCCTCTCTTTTTCCTTTATTCTGACAAAACAGATGAAATTCAAATACAAAGCCTTGCTGAGTTAGGGATGTCCTTCTCGTGCTAAAATGTTTAGCTTTGAGAAGGACAGTTAAAAATGGGTAACCTCTATCTGCATCTGAATATTCCAGTTCTTTTAGGCTCTGTCCCTATTATTCTTTCCTTACTCTTGTGCCAAGAATCAGATGTCGAGCTTGCATTTTTTTCTGGCTCTCAGGTTATCACTGATTTACAAAAAACCCACCAAACTGCTTTTACGTAGCTCTTTATTGAAATTTTACACACCTACCTAATTTAGTTGTTGGAAGATGTTAATTGCAAAAGTGAACAGATGATCAGATTACTCATGGGGGGGAAATCCTGTAATGTGGACTGGGAGATTATAGTAAATCATGTCTAGAACACTATGGTCATTGCTTTCATTTGTGTAGAATAATCTTAACTACCTGCCAAACATTTGTCTGAAATTGGAAAATTCATTTTTTAGTCTTAGATACATCTCACACACAGGAATTATACCTCTGAATTTAACAGTCTGCACAAAGGGATTCTTGACTCTGGCTCTTTTAAGTAAAAGGGAGTTTGCCTTTGACTTCAATGGGGGGAACATTGGGCCCCCAAATAGGTTATGTACTAAGATAACTCCTGTCTTAGAATATCAGTTAAAATGAGCGTAGAAGGCAGATTACTGTCATCCCAATTAGATTTCTTTTCTAAGACTTTTATCCTTAAACATGTTTAAGTTGGAGAATACTTTAAATGTTTTCTTCTTTCTTTTTCTTCTCACAGCAGAAGGAAGGTATAGGTTAGATGAAATGAGACTCAGTAATGAATAACCAAGGGAGACAAAAATACTGTAAAACCAAGTAATTCCAAAATTGGCACATTTCTCTGACCTTTCATTATTATGGTCTTTCCTTCCTAATGGCCTTAATATACCTTGATTTATGTACTCTATTTATATAGCAGATCTTTTTCAGAAATGACTTATTTTTAATATTTTTCTGTAGTTACAATGATTTTTTGGTGGCGGTGGTGAAGAGAGACCATTTTAGCCTGCCTTACAAACCTGGCTTTGCCTGGTTGGCTGTGCAGTAGACTTGGCCTGTGAAGATATTGACCTTGAGTTTAATTTCCATTAAGATCTAGTAATGGAAACAAATTAACTGGTGTCACTGGGGGAAATAATATACTTTTGCCTGTACTCTGTGTGTGTGTGTGTGTATGCATTTATGTATTTTAAAAAAGATGATTATTATATCACGACCATACCTGAAATACTGGAAAAAACATACTATGATAAATTTGTACCACCATGCCGTATAAGACAATGATAGCCAGGTAGGGAATTATCACTTTTTTTTTTGGTTACCCAGCAGGAAGTATGTTAGGGTTTGATCCTTCCCTCTAGAATATAAAAGGCAGCACGGGAGATCTTCACAAATCAACTACTTTCAAACTGCAGTCGGTCCAAGCACTTAGAAACGTAGTGCCATGATAGCAGTCCACACAGTCCATCAGTGCACAGCACGCTAGCATGATGTAGATTCACACCCCAGTTTGCAATGCACTAGCTCTTTGTCTTAACAAGCGTTGAGTGGGTTTTCTAAGATTGCACATCTTGTCAGAAGGTACTAATAAGCCCTTCATGGCTAAGGGCAAGAGTCATTGAAAATAAGTCTAGCTTCTCTGCAAACCCCAAAGCATCAGATTTGGGAGATCTGCATTGCTTTTTACTGGTTTGCACAATACCAGAGCTGGACCTAGTTTAGTGTGTCCCATACTTATGGAAATATCTTTTCATTGTTAACAGGTTCCAGTTAGTAAGATGAGATACCCACTGTGAAAATAAATGGATATATTTACTACTGTGAGAATAACAAATAGAGTTTATCTGGAGATTTTTATACTATACGGTGTATTTTTATATATATATAAATATACACATGCACTCACACATTACATATCTCTTGGAGTTAATGTGACTTTTTTTTTTAAATATCATTGCAGCCACAATCATTTTCATGTGACTGGAAAAGAGAATATGAGCAAAAGCCACTAAAAATGCCAGGGAGACATGAGAAAAATGCCAGGGGGCTGATACCAGGTTATTTTTCTACAGTACTACTTTGACAAGGAAAATCAAATAATTGTGTGTATACTAAGTTTGTTTGTGTGACCAGGGCATCCTCTAATAGTAAACAGCATACACGCTATTTTTAAATTGCTGGCCTACAGCTTTAAGTGCACTTTTCTGAATTACACTTCCATTTCTTGTTAGACTTGAAGTTTCTAAAGCTTTTTTTGTGTACCACTAAACAGAGAACTTTCATTTTTCTGTGAACTTGATGTACATCATAAAATACTTGCGATTGTTATTAAAAAAAAATAATCAAATGTGATAGTGATTTTGCAGACCTTCCTAAACAACTAATTGTGCAGTATCATATTCCTGATGAGCTGCCGTTAACGCTCATCACTAATTGAGTTTTATAGCATTTGACCTTTTCACTGCTACAGACTTGATTTTGGTCCCTAGTTCGTTCTGTTTGAAATATTTTTTTCTATTGTTTATCATATCAGCTGCCTAATAATCTGCTTTCTCTTAAAGCAATAAATCCCAGTGGATTAAACATTCTTTTATAATTCCATGAATGCAACATATTTACTTGACTCCTTCCTGCAGAAGATTTTCGGATGTGAACATTCAGATTCTTAATAGGGTAGGGAAACCAAATGTTGTCAATTTACATTACTGGCTAGAATTCTAAATACTGTCTATATGCTTACTATACAGATTCTGCCCTGCAATTGATTTTCTAACCATTTTTTAGGATAAAACTACTCTGGGCCAATCTACTAAAGCCCCAGAGCAGACGGGGGGAAATGTAGGGCTTTATCGAAGACGAATGACCATAAAAGTAAAGTGAAAAGGGAAGAAACCAATATTAGTAATTGGTGATGAATACCCCGTATTAGTGGTGATTTGGCTGGGTGTTCTGTCCTTCAGTCACCATCACTTGATTCAGAGACTTAGTCTCCAAAAACGATGTACATCTATAAAAGAAGCTTTGTTAAAAGGCGGCTAATGAGGTTTTTTTCATCTGTAGGTCCCTTTTCGAATCCAGCTCAGTTTGCTTTTGAGTGAAAGTTGTCAACAGCTGGTTTGCTGGTTATGGTCTTGGGTTAAACAGTTGGCACCTTCTTTAGCAGTCTCAGCACAGAACCCAGTGACTGAATAGGCACAGAAAACCTCTCATTCTTCTTAGGTGGTTGTTACAGCTTGGCTGTCCCTTTAAGGGGGGTCAAACTCAGCCACACTTGTGCCTCCCTTACCCCCCATGATGTTGGTCAGCTGGGGTTTAGATGGGTTCATTAGCAGGCTCAGCTGGGTGGATTGCACATAAGGAGGGTTTGCTCCTTGAGTGACGTGAGGCCAAGTTCCCAGGAGAAGCAGCAGACAGCAAAGGGAGCTAAGAGAGGCCGGTTGGCTGGCTGGCTCCTCTGGGAGGGCTGGAACTGAGCTAAGGCAGACTCAAAGCAGGAGGGCTGTGCCTGGTGGGAAGCAGGGGGTACCATTGTGTGTTGGCTAAGTGTGGACTCTGAGGGGAGGAAACCTGAGAGTAACTTTCTGGAAGAAGGGTGAAGGTCTGAGCATTGAGCCCAGGAGGGGCAGGAAACTCTTTTGGTTTATGTCAGGTGTGAAGATTGTTTTGCTGGACTCTGTTTATAGCTCCAGAAAGGGACAGAACGGAGTCTGATTTGGCCGGAAGGAAATGGGGTGGGGTTGTTGCAACACCAGGTCTTGCTGGAGGGGGATGCTGAGAACTGTTACAGTGGTGTTAAAAGATGTCAGCATTTGGGTAAGACTTCTGTGGGGACCGTGTGTGGTGGAGCTTATTCTGATGCCTGTGCTACAGCTAATTACAGTATTTAACATGCACACAAACACACAACCTGGATATGCCACGTACAGGGAGATAGTATAATTACTGTTAAAGTTTCTTAGGATTCATGAAAGAATCAAGTAGAGGAATAGATGTGAGCCGTTTTTCTGCTGTAGCCCAAAACCCCACCCATTTTCACACACAATATCTTGATGTAGGCTACACTTACCGCAAGATGACATGGTAACAACACTATTATGGGAGTTTCACTTTTATGGTCTCTGTTAAGCCTACGGTAGTTTGATTTCCTGTAACAATGCATCCAAGAAGGGGGGGGGGGAACGATGCTCCTGTTGTTCTAACATGAACCATGCTTAGCGGAGAAGGAGGGAATGTCTCATTGAGGAAGGTAAGAGAGACCTCACAGCTGAACTTCCTTTACTTGGGCTGAACTGTGTCTGGGATTAAGCACAATGTATGTACCTGTGCCCTTTGCACTGACTAGGACCTTATATTGGAAGTGATCCCTGTCCAACACAAACCTGTAACCCAAAAGTTCCTGCAATTACTTCATATTGAAATATGACCAAGATCCATCTGACTGACCCAAACCACTCCTGCAAAGGGAGGGAATTAATATTGGTAGCCAAAGAAACCATGCAGTGTTTTGTAGAATCTGATCAAGTTTCTTCAGATCAAGAAGGGGCTGAAGGTTTTCCTCCTTTGGGGAATGAAAAAACTGCTAAGGATTAGCCCCCTGACCTTGGACCACATTTAGATAAGGTGCAACTTCCTGTAACCGTGAAATGGGGATTCTTTAAAATTGCACAAGCTAGACTTTTCGAGTTTCTAACAACCATTTGTTAGTAATAAGGATTGTCTTGGCCTCTGAGCCTGACCACTCGACTCAGGAATAAGTCCCAGGGGACCCCTGCAGAACAGAGAAGGGAAGCACGCAGGGCCACAAATCCTCTCCTCTCCCAAATTTTAACCTGAGCACCCCGAGGAAAGAAGCAGGGCTTCTAATCACACATGCCCAACTCCCAAATAAATCTGTTTTACTCCTGTCTCTAACACTCACATGCCCAACTCCCAATGGGGTCCAAACCCCAAAT